GGGGGAGGGTAAGGGGAGCTGCCCCTGCTGGAAACCGGGTCCAGCGTCTACTTCCTTCTCCTCTCCCCGGGAATTCATTTCCACACCGTTATTGCTCAAACCCCCTGAGTTATCTCCTCCCCTTCTCGTCACTCTCACCATCTAGACAGCTCCCTCTCTCCTCTCTCCATCTCTCCCTCTCTCGGTCCCCTCGTTTCTTTTCTTCTTTTTTTTCCATTTTTGAATCCCCTCGTCTCCTCGTTTCTTTTTTCTTTTTCTTTTTCTATTTTTGAATCCCCTCGTCTCTCACCGATATTGTGACGCTTCGAGATGTTCTGAACTACGATGTAACTTTTCGGTCCTCCGCCGTCGGACACGTGGTCATCTCCAATACCGTTCAATTCAATACTCCCGCAGCACGTGTCATCACCACGAATATCCACAGCGCTGATCGTCTTTCCCCTGGCGTCGAGCGTGCCGCCGCCATCGCTGCCATTGCCAAAGTCGGCAGCTTTTGACACGCCCGATCCAACTGGCAAACGGGAGCAGCATTGCGAAGAAGGCAAGGAGGAGGAGGAGGAGGAGGTGGAGGAGGAGGAGAACGACGAGGAACAGGAGGAGGAGGAGGAGGTGGAGGAGGAGAACGACGAGGAACAGGAGGAGGAGGAGGAGGAGGAGGAGGTGGAGGAGGAGGGAGAAAGAACAGAGGAAAGAATAGGAGAGAAGTGTTCAATTTCAGTCCGAAGGAGGAAATCAATCTTGGCCGTCGCAGAGGATTGCGTATCTCTAGTTGATTTCTCTCCTTTCAGTGCGACGTCCCTTCTTCCCGCAGAATCTGCCACGTCCGCACGAACCGCCCCGGGGGCGGCTGCTGACGTCATCGCCATCACGCTCTTCTCTTTCGACTCCTCCATAGCCATTCCCTTTGGCTCCGATATCCCTGAGTTCCGTCTTCGTCCCTCTTCTCTCTTATAGATGGATCTCGCTGCAGTGCTCAGGAAACGTGCAATATGGTGCGTGCATCTTCAGGTAGAAGGTGGAAAGGTGCACGCCCCATTTCTTTTTCCTGTCCTTCTCACATTAGAAGGTAGAGCGAGGCCCGGAGAGACAATAACCGCGAGGGGCACGGAGAGGGCTCCCAACGGGTCCGATTTGGCCAACAGGCGTATTGACCGTCTTCCCTCGAACATAACGGACCCTAAAAATGAATGTACACGAGTTATATTTCCGGCCAGATACTGCCAAAATGAGGGTGCGTTGTGCTCGGGGGAACGCGATAGCGCACACGAGTTGCACCCAGGACGTCGTGGGCTCAATTCCGAAGGGATGCCGGGGATATCTTGGTGCCCTACCATCTAGAGACAGCAAGCTGGGTTGCTGGGTTGGTGCCCTACCACCTAGAGAGAGTACGCTGGGTGGGTGCCCTACCATCTAGAAACAGCATGCTGGCCCCCCAGGCCAGCATTAGCAGGACCTTGGCCAATCTTGTTGAGGGCTATGCAACAAAGATATAGGCAAGGCTAATGTAAGCCTTGGGGGGGAAGAGGGGAAGGAGAGGTAAAGTGAATGGCCACAGTGCTTGGCACTACCTTCTTCCCCTGAATATAGCTGTAGTTTGGGGTATCTTTCAGTCTAAAGGACAGCTATAATGACCACTGCCACGGTTCCCTGCCCCAGAAGCCTGCCCATCCCCACATTACCGTGATGATGGGCTGGTACAGCACTCCCACAGCAACACTATGGTGCAAAACTCCCCCAAGGGTTAAGGAGATGTACGGGTCGGTGGGTGTTCCCTCGTAGTGTATGTACAAAAGAGGTGAAGAGATGAAAACATGAAGAAGCGAACTGATGATCCACTTGATTGAAAAAGAAAGAAATCCAACTTTTTTAACCCGAGCCTCTTTTCGCCAACGCAGATTTTTGCCTGGCCCTAAGAAATTCAGGCGACGGGAACTGCCAGCCATAGCCAGCCTTTTTCGGAAGCAAACCACCAAGCTTTCTTGAGATCCCCTGTCAATCTGAAGGATCTTTCCAAATGGTTGGGCGATCCACTAGTGGTTTAAACCACCTGGGCCTGTCCTCCGCAACTTCTGCTTGTATACAAGCAGGCCGCTGTTTTGCTGCACAGACTAGGTCCAACAATTTAGGGCATGTTGCACTAGTTAGCAAAAAGTTCTTCCAGGAGGCCCAACCTTTAAGGATGGTGGCTGGGTGGGATGATGGGACACAGAGGGGGAGTGGGACGGTTCATGAGGTAAGGTTAAGTATCCTTTTGGTAGCAAGCTTTGTTGGCCACAAGGTATATCTAATAAGGAGTGACCCTTCTAAGCTTCAGTGGATCCCTCTAAAACTCGCCTTCATAACCAAGGTCATGGTAATAGGCAAAATTGAAAATTGACGAGCCTTTCACCACTAGTCACAAGGATATAGGAGCTTACTTTCAACCGGAATTAATGGAAAACGTTTGAAACAAGTAGAGGAAGGGGATTGCCGCTTTTGGTTCTATTATTGAAATTAACATATAATTTTAAACCAGTAGTATTTGGCCCAATGCGCGACCTTCTTGGGTCCAGGCAAACTTTGGGTTGTTAATGAAATTTATGGATGGCATCCTGGACCCTCGAAGGTTGTGGCACATTAATCTGAAAGTATAAGGAAATATAAGTGGTTTAAAAACAAAAAAGAATCACTTTGATCCATCTTAGATAGATAGACACCTTAATGGAGATGTATAAATGTAAAGAATTAGATTCTTTGCGTATTATAAAAAACCATCTAACTCCCATTCTCCACAATGGCAAATTGTTCATAAATATCTTCCTATTAAAGAGTGGTCAATCGACCATTCATGCTTGGCAGATGATGAATACCTCTTTATATCTTGCGTGAGGGTGACCATGTTGTGGCTATGGCAGGATAAGCAATGGAGATGGGCTTCCAACATCTCTCAATGGTTATTGATTGCAAATTATCCTTTTAAATTATTCAGAGTATGAGGTTTGTAGCTCCAAAGCTAACTACTTGAAGTTTTATACAGGTGGGAAAATTATATTTTGGGTAACTTGAACTTGCAGGTATACTTAAGAGGATAAGGATGTATTTATTTCATATCAAGAGCTATATGAATCTATTATTTATTTAATGCAAACAACCATGTTAAGGAGATTGAATAAAACTTTTTTAAAAAACAAACATCATAAGTGAGCCTAAGGACAAACTTGCAATAAAAATCTTGATAGTATGGTTTTGTGTCTTGGAACGGGGTTTAATTTTATAAGTAAAGGAAAATATGAAAACATTGCAAAAGGGTCACCTAGCGCTTGGAGATTACTCCTTCATAAATCATTTATTTTTATTAGGATTTGTTTTAGAGTTCCCAATTTTGTTCTCTTCCTCACAAAACTCCTTAATATAGTTATTTTGGTATAATATACATTAAGGTAGTTAACCTTTTATGCCAAAACATTCACCTGGTAGGTATCTCTTAGTAAGAGCGAAAATTTATTGACGAACCTATTTGTCAAAGTGTTGTTATTTGATTTGATATTCATTTGTATAAGGTTACCACCTTAATTACTAGCTTTAGGATTATACCAATTAATATTATTCAACTAAATATCTCATTACTTTTTATTATAAAAATGAGTGATGGGTCTGATATCTAACATGTGTTGTTTCCCACGATAGATCCAAACTTAAAAAATAATAATAATAATAATAATAATAACAATAAAATTATTGTATTAATACCTTTAAGGTTTAAAGTACTAGTAACTTTTAATAGTACCTTTCGATAAATGGTCGATTATGATGAAGGTTATGTATAAATGTAGGGGAATATCTGCATTAGGTTTGCTATATAAATTATAAAAAAATTGTTAAGATGTCAAAAAAATATCTCAGACATATAGAGTTTAACAATAATGTACAATATGCAAACATTTTTCTATCAATTTCAAAAGTTCGAATTGCCCGTTCTCTTTCATGTGTTGGTGACTAAAGATACTACTTTTGATCCTAACAAAAATGTCAAGAAAGTTTCCACAAAAAATGAATAACTTTTGGGGTAGCTCAGTTAGTACACCCTTGGACTGTTAAAATACAGACCCTAGCTTGAATCCATACGCCACCAGGTGAATCTGAATTATCTGGGACCGGTCAGTTAAACGATGATACCTCATAGGTGTGACCCCTTTGGAGAAAAAAAAAAAAAAAAAAAAATAAAATAAAAAAATGATGGGTTAGTGAAGAGGTGGTTAACAAGGGAAGGAAGCAACAAAGAGTCTCTCGAGACATTCGTACAATTGGACATACACGGAGAAAGATGATTTACAGAACCCTTGTGCATTCAAGGATTATACACGTGCATCCACAAATGGTTAAGAAAAAAAAAGCAAAGAAAGGTAAGTGAAAAAAAAACAACAAATGCAGTCGAATAGTGCAAACAGGAGTTATCATGGTCCCTCCCTTCCCCCCCCCTCTGTCTCTCTTTCTCTCTCTCTCTCTCTCTCTCTCTCTCTCTCTCTCACACACACACACACACACACACACACACACACACACACACACACACACACA